TAGCCCCCTTGCCCGTTCTCCCACTTCGTGCTCGGTCCAGAGATTCTTAGGTCCATGACCCAAATAAATTCATGTTGTCCTTTTCCCTCAGGAGGATGCCCCCACCTAGGGTTCCACTGCCTCATAAGCAGTCTATCTTTTATATGTCTATGGTTCTGACACACGCACGCACACGCACACACATACCCGCGCGCGTTTTTGGAGGCTATTCACGTTCGTCCAAGTTTCGTGCCTCGCTCGCACACCTGTCCGTTTTATTTATACATAAACACACATATGTCATAATTTATGCGTATGTTAATATTTTCCTTTCGTACGAAACCGATGAGAGTTTTAAAGAAGAGCCATTTTAAAGAGGAATCAAGGAAACGTAATTAACATACTATAAAATAGACCCTACCACCCTGTCACGGCACTGAGTCCTTTATTTCTTGAAATTTGTATTTAACATATATGAGCCATACTAATTTATTAACATACTATAATACTATAATAAACTTCGATGTATGAACGTATGTATGAACCTTTCTTTAAACTAATGAAATATTTTTCTTTTACTCATATTTTTGCAATAGAACGATTACGAAATGACGTTTCGTAGAATCGATTTATCAGTTTAAACGAAGACACGTATTGTTCTACGTAGCACTGTAATCTGTGACGCACTTCCTTCCTCGGGGCATGAATAATGGAAGATAATCTTATGGTGACGCGCTACCGACACTATCTCGGATTTTATACGTATTATATATAATTATGCAATCTGCGAAAAAAAATGACATCGATTGACACTTACTGAACTACGTCTCTTCACGGAGGACACGATGCGGAAATATTTTAACAACGCGCTATAATCTATCAAGGACACAATATTTGAAAATATATCTCAAAGTGTCTTTCCAAATCGCTCTAAACTTAAAAAGGGTTTCCCTTCTTTAAATACTTAATGAATTAGCATGTACACTGCTCAAAATAAACTCATTGTCAGAAGAATTCCTTTCCGGTAGTTGAAAAAGATGATTTCATAGAAGAATACCTTTTGACTACTTATGGAAGTAAATTAAAGTTGTTCTGAATGCAAAGAATTCCTTTTGTATCTGAAAAAGAGCTCCTAATCGGTGGCATAAAAGCAAGTTCTTTTTAGACTCTTAAGAATGTTTTTAGAACCGAAATATGATGCAAAAAGAATTCATTTCGCAGTTTAGAAGGTCAAGAAGAATTATTTTTGGGTTTTCTCTATGACTCTATACTATCTCGATTGCTTCGTTTTACGCAGTTCGGTATTCGTACGAAAATGTATCACATCACATTTATCTACGTTTACCGTTGCGAATGCTTTTTATCTGTGTATATATAAAAAAACCGTTCGAAAATCGTGCATAATATGAACTTAAAAAATACGTCAGAAATAAATTTTTATTCTTTTCTCCTTTCAAAAGACGCTTATTGAGCGAATATTTGCTGTAGGCAACTGGAGCAACGAACTCACCTCACGTTTCATATTACTTTCTTTCGTAACCCGAGACAATTGATTTTATTTGCGAATTTTGAAAGAGCCACATTTACATAAACTTAATAAACGGGTGCCATTAATAATAGAATACGCATGCTATAAAGCGCCGTCACGCTTCACGTCCCATTATGCAAATCAGAATTACACAGCGGCATTTTCTTTCGAGTTAAATGTCGTTGGTGATAGCATGTTAGTACAGCAAACCAGACAATACCTCGCTAAATATTGATACAAATAATAAAATATAGATTCTCATAAAAACGAAACATAGAAATATAGATAGAAAAACTCGCAAATTGAAATGTTAACTTGTCACGCAGACTATCGGAAACGATAGCGTTATAGAGATACAGATCAAATAAGATACGATCGCGGGAACGGCGGGTTTGTCTATTAAAATGAATGCATAAGCGATGATACAACAGGAAACAGATAATTATTCATAGTTTTAATGTTAGCATCTACATTTTTTCATGATGTAATAATGTTATTAATCTAGTTTTGAATTTGCAGTGATTCTCTCTCTCCCTCCCTCCCAGCCCCCCTCTCTCACTCCCTCTGTGTCTTGTTTAATCATGTCATGTTTAATTTAATACAAACTCAATCAAAAGTTAACACATATAAAACACATTTCCAAGAACGATGGCTATCATTTCATTAAACTACTTTGCTTACAACATCGTGTTCTCTTTTGATTGGCATTCTACATGGCGATAGTTCCGAAATTGCCGAGATTATTGTTATTAATTGCGGTTCCACATCACGTAAACTTTTGTACGTTGTATTTTCAAAACGCGATACTTTCTCCGGTTAAAACTTTCTTCGCTTATCGTACAAGTACGCGATACAAGTACTTTCTCTTCATGTATGTCACTAATTCGTAATAAGCGGTCATTAAAGATTAAAGCAATTATCAGGTTATTTCGAACGGTCGACTTTATGTGTCTGTGTAACATACACAACGACATATCCGAGTGATATTCTAAATCCCAATTCAAACCTTTAAACATACTCGTGTTTTCACTTTAACCGTAACTTTGTAACTCTCTCTCTCTCTCTTTCAAGGCTAAACGACGTCCCTCGTCACCGCTGAATAATTTACGAGCACCGTATAATTACAATCTGCTTTCACTTATGTTCAACTATTATCTACGAATCTAAAGAAAATTCTGTTATAATAACGTGTCTTGTTCGTCAAATTTTCACCTCATTACCGAATTTGGTCACCTTACCCTAATAGCAGATCGTTAGGAAGTGTGGGTATGAAAGAGTTATTCGAATCATAGAAATTCAAATTCTTCTCTACGACT